TAATAGTTTTATTTTATTTATCTTTAATTGAATATAATTATATGTTATGCACATGTAAATCAATTATGTATATTTGAATATTAAAAATTAATTAGTTTTAAACATTCAATATTTACATTTAAAAATAATATTTTAATTAATCATTCAAACTCAAACATCTAAATCTTAACGAAAACAAATAAGTAATGTAATGCATAAATCTCCTTGTCTTGTGATCTTTGATCCATTGATTTATCAAAACATCATATTCAGGATAATGATATTTTATATTATTGTAGATTTCCTGTTTGAAAAAAAATTCTTCTTTTTATCTTGGTTGACATTTGTACATTTGACTTATGTACCATCAAGAATTAGTCAAAATTTGCACAAATTGTATGGACAAAATTAGCCCCAAACATTCTTTAAATAGGAGCAAATCTTTCACTATAAATAGCATCAAATAATTCCTCTTCACTACAATTCATACAACAAAACTTAAACATTAAATTTTCTAATTAAATCCATCATCATGAATACCAAAGTCATTCTAGCTCTCTTGTTTTGCTTCCTCCTCGTTGCATCCAATGGTGAGCTATATATATATATATATATATATATATATATATATATATTAATTTGTTCTCATGTTGTACACTTAAGAAGTGTGTTGATAGATTTTGTGCTAATTGTTACTAGCTAAATTTCTAATCGAACGCTTTAATTTATATATACTGATAATATGAAGATTTTCTATGATGTTATGTACTCTTTCTGTTCGGTATTATTTGTCATGATTTTTATTTTTAGAGTCAAATCATAAATATTTTGACTAATAATTTAAGATTTATTTTTTGGTCATATTAATATGCAAAAATTATAATTTATAGTACTTTTTATATAGTTTTAGAATATTCAATTTTTTGGTTTAAAATATCGAATTAATATGATCTAATTTACCTTTGAAAATTAGTCAAATTGACTTTTAATAAGCGTAACATGATAAACAATTTTGGACGGAGGGAGTAGTATACTTATAACCGGTTATGACATATCATCACTCAATTTTCTACGACAAATAGTAAAGAAACCTTATTCTATAATATAATTTTCTAGAAATTTAAACACATGACCCTTAACTTGATAACTACAATAAAATCTTATTCTATACGATAAATAGTTATTTATTAATACTAAGTTAAAGATCATGTTTATGTATTATATCGATTTAAAAATAACTATTTAAATCATACCACACCTAATTCGGCGAAAAGCAATATTTTGACTATACTAGTATTGTTTTGTTATGTCATTGAGATTCAAAAAGTTATACATAAATTTCTTTTAAAAAATTGTTTAGGTTGATTCGTGCACAATATATATATATATTTTTTTGGATAGAGGGAATTCAATTGAACCTAGGTGTTTCTCGTTGGACAAGCACATTTGATTCTAAAGTCATTTCATATTCATAAACTACTTTGCTTAGCTCCACCGTCGATTCACGGGTGGATTTAGGTTATTGAACGGTGTTCCTGAAAATTCAGTAACTTTTGCACGTATTCTATTCTTGAATTAAAAAAAAATCTACTAAATATATATATAAAAAAAATGACTTGGTATCCCACTAACAAAGTGTGTTGTTTTAGTTTTTTTTAAAAAAAAATTGAGATGAGTGAGACCCACAAACGTCAAATCTTGAATTCGCCTCTGTCCTGATAAATGCAGAGATGCAAGTTGGAGAAGCAAAAGTATGTCAAAGGCGGAGCAAGACATGGTCAGGTCCATGTATTAACACAGGTAATTGTAGCCGTCAATGCAAGCAACAAGAGGATGCTCGTTTTGGAGCTTGTCACAGAAGTGGCTTTGGATTTGCTTGCTTTTGCTATTTCAAATGCTAAATCATTTCTATAGAAGAGTGTTTTACTATCAAATATGTAACAATGTTGTGTTCTATTGTTTGAATAAAGACGTCCAATTTACTAAATTGGATGTACTCCTAGTAATGTTTGTGTGTCCAATTTATCGTATTGTAACGTATCACAATGTATGTGTTGTATTGTTGTGATGAATATAATGTTTGAATAGATAATGTTATTTCTTTATGTTTTCATAGTGTCACGTGACCTTAATAATATGAAAGAATAAATTTTTATACTATAATTAGTCTATAATAGAAAGTAGGGAATAGATAGAGCTAGCTATTATAGATACATAAAGGGCAAAGGGTAATTTTACGTGGCACTTTTCGCTTTTCGTGAGTCAAACAGTTTAACTTTGACCAGATATTTGCATATGAAATCTTCAATTTTTTTTTAAATTAAATTTATATATTTGTAAACTAAGTAAAGAGTATTATAAGTCACATTTTAATTGATAATTTAAAATGTTAAAAAAATCTATGAAAAGCTTATAATTAAATATAAATTTATTTAAATTTTAAAATACGAAAAATGTCACATAAAATAAAACGAAGAGAGTAAATAACAAGAACAAGAAAAATGAGGAAAAGAATTTAATTGATGTGCGCCACACCAAATCGGTCTTGTATAAAATAAGATTTTTAATTATATAATTGTTGAGTGTGTGTAAATGAAAGTTCCACATGAATTAGTAGCTTAGAACTACATATAAGTGTATGATCTCCTTCTTGGACATTGACATTTATCACAATCTACATCGTTATGATTGATATTCACACTAATTTATTGGTGAGAGAATTATTAATATTAATTAGCTAATTAATTTTAATTAAAATATTAAAATATTTAAATTACGAAAGTAAATTAAATGTTAAAAAAAAATTTAAGTTATCAATTATTATAATTTAAAATATTTTTTAAATAATTTTTAATAATCGAAATCATGAAAATGTATATTAGTCAAGCTGATAAATATGAACTGAAATTGCTAGCTCCAGGGGAAAAGGCCAAAGAGAAAGCAATCAAGCATTCATATAAGGAAAAGTTTTCAAAAGCTATTAAAATCTCAAAAATGTCACATTTTCGTCCCTATTAAGTTAAATTAGATAAAAAGGACAAGTAAACTGGAAATCTACAGAGTTTTAACTTCTGCTATTTATTTAATATACGTGCATTTTTTTTATTTTTCATCCAAGGGAATGAAATATTTTTTGAGAATAATTTCTTTATGTAATTTCTTTATTTATCTCCTAAGTATTTGACCTATGTACAAACAAATGGCTCATATATACCCGTACTAATATTCTTGTAAAACTTATTGTAGATCGACCAAATTTTTTTCTTCGAATACAAAAATCAAATTACAATATAGACAAAAAAAATAGTTCAAATTTTGTTTCTTTAAACTAAGTAATGAAAGAAAAAAAATAAGAATAAGAAACTCAAATAATAATAATAATAAAAGAAGTCAAATAATAATTTATGTATGAAAAAAATTAAAATATACCTTGAACTTTGATAGAAGAATCATATATACTCCTAAATAATTTTTTTAAAAAAATTCAAAATAATAAATATAAATTTAAAACTAATTTTTTTTAACTTCCGTTTAATGAAGAGTATATGTGAGCCATTTTTGTAACGATAGGGGTATATGTGAGCCGTTTGTATAACGGTTAGGGCATATATGAGAACCTTTAATAACGAGGGTTATATTAGCTCCAAATAACAAAATTGAGAGGTATATCAAACCCTTTTCCCAAGAATAAAATTTGCTTTTGAGTGTCTTCTTCAAAATCTTTAAAAAGTACAACGAGCAATCATTATATTGAAGAAACACAACACTATTTCAATATTATTATATTAACTTACCAATTTTGTAAATATAACCGTCTTAATCACTAGACCACCAGATTTGATTAAAGAAGCTTGAATAGTGCAAACTTTTCACTATAAATAGCTACTATCTCCTTAAGTATTATTCAAAATTTTTTTTTTTTTTAAAAAAGCATTAGAATTTGTGAAATCCATCATATCATGAACAACAACCATTTTAGCTTTCCTGGTTTACTTCCTCCTCAATGATCCAATGGTGAGCTAGCTAGTAACATTTATATTTAAAATTTTTCATTTTATCGGTAATTTATAATAAGGTGTTAACTTGAGGTTTATAAAATGATCAAATGAATTTTAAGTTTTCTATTCCTTTCCTTTCGTTATGTGATGGTAATATAATTTTCTATTACATATATTGAAACGAAAAAAATAATATAATATTTCTAATAAAGTTATTGTGGCAGAGATACAAGGAGGAGAGGCAAAACTTTGAAAAGTCTCAGCTCAGCACCACGAGATATTTGTTTTCTACGTAAATAAAACCAAATGTTTCAATAAGGGTTTCTGTTAGACCCGCAAACTACTTGATCTAACTACGTGCAGACATTTCAAGGACTTGGGCATTGGTCTTGACATGAATGATTGTAAAACAGTGCAACACAAGTTCAAGGTGCTTGGGTGTTGGCAAGACAGCTTGAACGTGCATGGCTTACGTGCGGGCTAAGGGCATTGACAAGACAGCATGTTGGCTTGACAAGGCAAGGCTGTGAAGACTTGACAATGTCAAGAACAAAGGCAGTTCACCCGAATTGCTGAAATAAAACTAAGTGTTGGAGGACAGCTAAAATATTCTAAGTGTTGGAAGCTGGCTGAAATATTCTAAGCGTTGGAATGAAGCCTGAAATATTCTAAGTGTTAGAATATTAGTATTTCGTGTAGATAAAAATGTAATTTGAATTAGATTCAATCTGTTAGAAATATAGCTGTTGGAAACTTAGTTTTGAACCCTGTGATGACAAGTGTCGGACATGTGTCATTTGTAACTGCCGCATGTAACTGCTATTGTGCAGAATTTTTATTAAGGGTGGAAATTCATCTAAGGCTTAGACAGAGTGTTTTTAGCCTTAGTCAAATTCGTGAAGCCGTCCTTTGTATTAATTACAGATTAATAAAGGTTGGGACAAGTTCCTGTAAAGTCTGCTTGTTGTTTAACTTTGATGTTTAAGTATTTCTATACTTAGTCAATTTCGTGGGTGTAAAATAGGCTGAGTGTTACAGACGTTTGTAAGACTGCCTAGGGTGGTGTTCGGTAAAAATAAATTGACCATCTTTCAATTGGTATTAGAGCATGGTTGAACGATGGTGAAGAATGCAGAACTGTGGGAACTGACACGAAAAATTGAATCCTTCGTTGGGTTTACTAATGATATTTTGGGAGACCCTACGTTTGTGGATTTATTTACACAAGTCATTGATTTGAGACTTGACGCTGAGAAAGTTCAGGGAGAGATTGGTGTATATCGACAGAATGTTGATAATCATATCACTGAAATCTTTGATTTTTATACCACAACTATGCAAAAACTTGAGGGACTGTAGAAGGAAAATGAGAACCTTCGTGCAGAGCTCGTTGTATTGTGTCGGGCTGTGGCTACGTTGAGTTCAAATCGTGTTGAATCATCTAAGGTTAAGATTCCAGAACCTAAGGCCTTTAGTGGCGCAGGAAGTGCTAAAGAACTGAAAAATTTCATTTGGAACATGGAACAATATTTTACTGCTGCAAAGGATAAGTATTTGTCGGGTGATGCTAAACTTTGGTGGAGGACTCGAAATGCAGATGTTGTAAGTGCTGGTCGTCCTAGAATTGATACATGGGATAAGTTAATAAAAGAAATGTGTGATCAATTTCTTCCTAGCAACACATCTTGTCTTGCAAGGGATAAATTGAAAAGGCTAAGGCAGACAGGTTCGGTGAGGGAATACATTAAAGAATTTACCTCTGTGATGTTAGACATACAGAATATGTTTGATGAGGATAAATTACACAACTTCATTTCGAGTATGCAAGGTTGGGCTCAAAACGAACTCAGGAGGCAGAATGTTAAAGATATGCCTGGTGCAATTGCTGCTGTAGATTTATTGGTTGATTTCCGAATGACTCGTCGTTTGATAGATGTTCCCTCCACTTCAAAAACTAAGAAAAAGAATGATAAGAAAGGGGAATGGAAAAATGATAGTCGTAAGGACAATACAAATGACAAAGGGAAGGCACAAATGAAGGATGGGAAAGACAGACCAAAGAACAAAGATGGAAATTCTAAGGGTTGTTGGACTTGTGGTGGTCCTCATTTGGCCAAATCTTGTCCAAACCGAGAAAAAGTGAATGCTTTGCTTGGTGGAAATATGAATCAAAGGGAGGAGGATGAGGAAATCGTGGCTGCAATGGCAAACCTGTTGGGATTGTCCTTCAATCATATTATAGGGATTAATAATGTTGGAGAAATGTCTAGTACTTCGAATCCTCATGCTTTCTTAATTCATATAGAAATGAAAGTGAAAGAATAACGTTGATGGAAATGGTTGATACAGGGGCCACTCATACGTTTGTAGATGTGAAAATTGCTACAAAATTGGGGTTGAAGTTGTCTAAAAGCCCTTCCTACGTCAAAACAGTCAATGCTAAGGCACATGCCATTGTAGGTATGGCTTATGGTATGTCTATGTCGACTGGAAGTTGGGTAGGAAAACATAATCTGATGGTGATGCCGCTTGGTGAATTTGAGATCATACTTGGGATTGATTTTCTAAGAAAATTTCATTTGTTTCGTTTCCTCACTTAGATGGAGTGATGGTCATGAATGGAAGCAATGCTGGATTTCTCAAAGGTGTTCATCCATTTGGGAACATTAATAAAGTTGCAAAGAATAAAGATAAGGGAATGTTGTTGTCTGCTATGTCAATTGACAAAGGGCTGAAGAAGGGTGATAACACTATACTTGCTGCCTTGGTCGAAGTGAAACTTGATGTGAAAATGGAAGTGCCTGATTGTGTTGCTGAATTGCTTAAACAGTATAATGATGTTATGCCGCCTGAATTACCAAAGGAATTACCACCAAAAAGGGATATTGATCATAAGATTGAGTTGTTGCCTGGTACGGTTGCTTCTGCACAGGCTCCTTATCATATGACTCCTAAGGAATTGGTTGAATTACGCAAACAATTGAATGCGTTATTGGATGCTGGATTGATTCAGCCATCTAAGGCCCCATATGATGCTCCTGTTTTATTTCAAAAGAAACAGGACGGGACGATGCGAATGTGTGTAGACTACAGGGCGCTGAACAAGGCAACTATAAAGAACAAGTATCCGGTTACGTTGGTGCAGGATTTAATGGACAGATTGAGTAAGGCATGCTGGTTCACAAAACTTGATCTCAGGGTAGGTTATTGGCAGGTTAGGATAGCAGAGGGTGATGAACCAAAAACAACATATGTAACTAGATATGGTTCATACAAATTCCTTGTAATGAGATTTAGGCTGACTAATGCTCCGGCAACGTTTTGCAACTTAATGAATAATGTACTGTTTGACTATCTTTATGACTTTGTTGTTGTTTATCTAGATGATATTGTCATTTATAGTCGAACATTGGAGGAACATGTTAATCACCTAAGTTTGGTTCTGTCTCAGTTGAGAAAATACACACTTTATGTCAAGATGGAAAAGTGTGAGTTTGCTCAACAAGAGATAAAATTCTTGGGGCATCTTGTTAGTAAAAGCCAAGTTCGAATGGATCCTTATAAAGTGCAAGCCATTGTTGATTGGCAGGCACCTTGTCATGTGAATGATTTGAGGTCGTTTCTTGGCTTGGCTAACTATTACAGAAAATTCATTACTGGTTACTCAAAAAAGGGCAGTGGCTTTGACAAATTTGTTGAAGAAAGATACAAAGTGGGTTTGGTCTGAACGGTGTGATGAAGCATTTCAGAATTTGAAGAATGCTATTGCATATGAACCTATACTCAAATTGCCTGATTTTGAGTTACCATTTGAAGTGCACACTGATGCGTCAGACAAGGCAATTGGTGGCATATTAGTGCAGGAAGGTCATCCAGTGACCTTTGAAAGTAGGAAATTGAATGATGCTGAACAGAGATACTCAACACATGAAAAAGAAATGGTTGCGGTGGTACACTATTTGCAGGTTTGGAGAGTTTATCTCTTGGGTACTCGATTTGTAGTAAGAACTGATAATGTAGCAAATACATTTTTCAAGACACAGAAAAGTTGAGTCCTAAACAAGCACAGTGGCAAGAATTCCTGGCAGAATATGATTTTATGTGGGAACATAAACCAGGAAAACACAATCAGGTTGCTAATGCGCTGAGTAGAAAAGAAGTGTTTGTTGCAGTGTATTCGATTTCAAAGCTTGAAACTGATTTCTATGATAGAATCAGGTTGTGTGCTGCAAATGATTCATTATATGTTAAATGGATGGGTCAAGTGCAAGATGACACAATGAGACGGTATTGGATCGAGGACGATCTGCTCTATTTTAAAGGGGGGAGAATCGTTATACCAAATTAGGGCGGGTTGCGCAAAGACTTAATGAAAGAAGCGCATGATTCTGCTTGGGCTGGACATCCGGTGTTGAAAGGATGTTAGTCTTACTGTCTCGTGTTTATTTTTGGCCGAAAATGGAAGATGATATAGAGGCATATGTCAAGACTTGTCATGTTTGTCAAGTTGACAAGACTGAACGTAAGAAGGAAGCAGGTTTGCTGCAACCTTTGCCTGTTCCTGAAAGGCCATGGCTATCAGTAAGCATGGATTTCATTTCTGGATTCCCTAAAGTAGATGGAAAAGCATCTATCATGGTGGTAGTTGAAAGGTTTTCAAAATATTCTGTTTTTATTGCTGCACCTAAACTATGTTCATCTGAAGTTGCTGCTGATTTGTTCTACAAACATGTGGTTAAGTATTTTGGTGTTCCGATTGACATTGTGAGTGATAGAGATACAAGGTTCTCTGGTAGATTTCGGACAACATTGTTCAATATGATGGGAACTGAATTAAAATTTTCTACTGCAAATCATCCACAAACAGATGGACAGATGGAAAGAATTAATCACTTGTTGGAAGAATACTTGAGACACTATGTGACAGAAAGTCAACGGAATTGGGTAACATTGTTAGACACTATGCAATTTTGCTACAATATGCACAAGTCGTCTGCAACAGAAATGAGCCCTTTTAAAATTGTTTTAGGCAGACAACCTATGACTTCACTAGATGTTGCCAAATCTAAAAATCAGGGAAAGTGTCTAGCAGCATACAGGGTTGCAAGGGACAGACTTAAAATGTTATCTGAGGCACAGGATAGCTTGCGCAAGGCTCAGCGACGCATGAAGAAGTATGCTGATCAATATCGTCGCTCAGTTGAGTTTAATGTGGGTGAAAAAGTGTTACTGAAACTTACCCCACAAATCTGGAAACAGATTGTAAGCAAGACCAGACATCGGGGTTTGATTCCTAAGTATGATGGTCCATTCAAAGTGGTGAAACGAGTGGGAGAAGTTGCTTATAGGTTAAAGTTGCCGAAAGGTTGAAAATTCATCCCACTTTACATGTGAATTTCTTGAAACCTTACTTTGCAGATGCAGATGATCCGGATAGAACCAGGTCAAAGAGGACCTCTATCAGTACCTATATAGTATGATGCTGAAATTGAGAAGATCCTCGATCACCCGATTTTAAGCACAAGTAAGAAAAATACTAAGACAGAATTCTTGATTCATTCGAAAGGCAAGAGTGCAGCTGATGCAGATTGGGAGAAGGCAAAGACTTATGGCAGTTCGATGCTCAAATCGAGGACTATCTTAAAACAGTCTCGATGAGGACATCGAGTTCAAGTGGTGCGAGTGGTCTATTAGACTCGTAAACTACTTGATCTAACTACGTGCAGACATATCAAGGACTTGGGCATTGGTCTTGACATGGATGATGGTAAAACAGTGCAACACAAGTTCAAGGTGTTTGGGTGTTAGCAAGGCAACTTGAACGTGCATGGCTTACATGAGGGCTAAGGGCATTGGCAAGACAGCATGTTGGCTTGACAAGGCAAGGCTGTGAAGTCTTGACAATGTCAAGAACAAAGGCAGTTCACCGAATTGTTGAAATAAAACTAAGTGTTGGATGACAGCTAAAATATTCTAAGTGTTGGAAGCTGGCTGAAATATTCTAAGTATTGGAATGAAGCCTGAAATATTCTAAGTGTTAGAATATTAGTATTTCATGTAGATAAGAATGTAAATTGAATTAGATTCTATCTGTTAGAAATATAGTTGTTGGAAACTTAGTTTTGAACCCTGTGATGACAAGTGTCGGACTGTCACGACCCAAAAATGGGCGTGATGGCACTCGTCTTATCCCACCATGACAAGTCAGCCTAAAACTCAACCATTACAATAAAGTGCGGAAGTAAATATAAGTAACTTAATAAAAACCCCAAAACCTGGTAGTCACGTGTACAAGCCTCTAAAGTATTACAATTGATTCAAAAGAAAAATTCAAGTCTCTAATGAACTTGTTTCTAGAATAGAACAAGATCATAATTAAGGAGAAGAAAGTCTGCCGCGATGGAAACAGCTACCTGACCAATCTCCAAGAAGCCTCGGAAAAGAAGAGAATGACAAGTACAACAAAAATCCAGGCTCATAACCTACAAAAATTTGTAGAAGCAAGGGGTGAGTACTAAACCACACGGTACTCAGCAAGTAAACGGCTAAACACAAGCTAAGGGGATGAAATACGGGTACTCCTACCACCCCCAACCAATCCTCCAACACTACAACCTGCAGAAAAATCAACCTAACCTAACAGCCCACAGTTTACATAGCACGTAGCTCAACAACAACACTTAGACAAATTACATATCCTCAACAACAACACTTCAATAAATTACATATCCTCAACAAGATTACTTCAACAAATTACATATCCGCAATAACAAGCTCAATATTAATCAATCACAAGTTCCGCAAAAAGGCAATCAGAAGATCAGCAAAATACAATATCAAGTTCACTAATGATAAGTATGTGCAATGCAATGGAATGCAATGTCAAGTATAATGATGCATGTCTGACCTAGTGATACACACCCGCTGTCTCTCAGTCCGGGACCCATGGGGGACATATCTGTCCATGCATCTGTCGCGGCGCACGACACGATCCTCGATAATAGTAACCATCGCGACGCGCGATACGTCCCTCAAAATATAGTATCCATCGCGGCGCGCGATACGTCCCTCGAAATGCACATCATCTTAAGTACTCATTCTTTCTCAATGCACATAACAATTGTCACACCCAATGCCTCAGAATAATGCAGATGACAAGTTCACACAAATAATGAGGAGATGATCATTTTCATAACATCGCACAGTTCACGACCACACAAACATGAAATCACATCAACAATGATTCAACAAGCCTTCAACCCTTTCTCAACACATCACACATAAATAATTTATCACATTTTATCCCTTTTTTTCATCATTAGAATTAATCAATGTGGACAAGTCAACCC